TAAGGTGTCATGGTAATGTTAATATACTTGTTAATAAATATAATTACACTCTAGAAAAAAAATATTAATTAAATAAGAGTTTTTTTTTCGATTACTTGCACATCGCCAATTAATTTTATAATATTTACGAAAATAGAAAACAAGTAAATATATTTTGAATATAGGGTAAAAACTACGTTAATGGAACACCAAAAAAATTATTAATATGGGAATAAAATTGAGACACACAAACCTCATTATAGGTTTTCTGTTTCGAATTGTTGATCTTATATTATATAAGATCAACAACAGAAAATTAACAACTGATTCAAAAGAAAATAAATTTAAAAATTTTAGGTGAAAATTCAATTAGCATTTCACGTCAACAATATATTGCAAAAAAAAGAGATTTTCAGAGCAAATACTTGTCAATTGAAATTCAAAATAATTGAAAAATTCGGAAAATGAATTTTCAACCAATACATACCTATACATATGAATATAAGAATTTACAACAAATAACTTGCTCGAGCACCAAAGTACTAAGTAATATATATTGTAAGTACTAACTAATACACATTTAGGTTTTTAAAATTATAAGCCTAGACTGTGCTTTAATCCACTTATAAAACTGTATAGATGATTTGTTTTTTTTATATAAATTCAGTTCAATAATAATGAGAATTTTCATGCTATTACTAAACTAATTTCCTAATATTTAATTTTTTTATATAAGAACATTCTAGCATAATCCTTTTACTGTATACAAAATTATCTAAATTGTTAAAGAAATTTTTTAGACCAGTAACTTTAATGATGGACAACACACCATATCGAAAAAATTTAATACAATTAAACATATAAGATTATAAATTTGCTATTCCATTACCACTCAAAATAAAAAATCCCATTTTTCATTTTCTATTTCTCATTAAATTATGCCCAGTAATTGAACCAAGTACCTTATATTTAAATTTTTTTTTTTTGAAAATTCAAACATACTGAAAAATATTTTAAATTGAAATTAAGTATGGATAAAAATTTTGAAAAAAAATTCTTTTGTATTTTAGCGTTTGACCTTAATGATTGAAAGTCTATAAAAATAATAGCTTGGAATTTGGTTTATTTAAAAAATATAAATTAGAAAATTTATAGCTATTTTTTTTTGTTCTAAATTTAAAAAAAAATAACAAAAATGTTTTTAAGAACTTCACAGAAATAAAAGTCATAGAAAACAACTTTGTTTTAATTTATTTTTTTCTCGTCTTTTTAAATTATATATCGTATTTGCAGTACTACTGTATGTAGCCTTGCAATTAGTTTTCATCTCTAGATTATTTCTTTTTAAAATATCGAATATTGGCATCGGGGATTTAGACAGATTCCTCAAAAGAACGGGGTGCTTAAAATAGGCCAACTACAATCGTACGCTTAATGACGGAATGGTGATCAGGATTTAGTTATAGCAAAACGGCACATTTGTGCTAGTTGGGCGGTAGTGAACATGCTGCACCAACCATTCTATAGCTAATTTTATAACATAAAGCTATTTCATTTTACATACACTTTATTCGCCTGATGATTACACTTTTATTTTTGTGATTTAAAATTTTGTTAAAAATGATCTATCTCTTCTAGTTTAACGCGTTTAAAGTTTTTGAAGAGATTTTTTCAAGTGATCACGTAAAACGCTTAGAATCTCTGCTTGTCTAGCATTTAAATTTTTTTTTTAAATTATTATATGAATTTTCAAAAAATTTACAGCATTTAGGACGAGGACGAACAAGTAGAGACACAAGTAGAGGGATTTCAAAACAAGTATCATTAAACCCCTTAGACCATCGTTTAATGAATTTCAACTTATCACAGTCATTTATAATCGATTAACAGGTTAATGAAGAAAACGTCTACATTGTTAATCAAATCGATTATTTATAGGGTCTGTAAATTTAAATTATAATTTGTTATACCATTTTCTGGATAGTAACACATTATATAGCGCACGTTTATTCCAATTAATTTTTAGGTTATTACTTGTGCAATGTTAATTATAAAACTTGTTAAGATCATTCTTACTAAAAACCGTGTCATTAACATAGTTTATCTTTTTGATATTTTTAATAAAATTATAAAATTTCTATTCACAATGAATATTATTTGAAAAAACTCAAATTTTTTAAAGGAAGGCACTCCAATAATTTTTACGGCTTATGTATTCCAGAATATTTAAACCAATTTCATCTTATCAATGCGACCTACTACCAATAATCAAAATTAATGCTACTTTAATAAAAATTCAATCACATTTTATTTTCAATTTCACAAAATTAAAATTAAAAAATCCCAAATTTAAATGCAAGGATATGACGAAATGACACTGGACACTTAGTAATATGCAAACAAATTTTAATATTTTATAATAATAATAAATTAATTTCAAATAATTTTAATAAACAATTATGTTAATGAATTTAGACACAAAGCTTTTAAAATTATATTTCATTTTCATAATTAATATTAAATATTCATAATGAGTTCTCGGTTAATCAGTTAAAATGCTAATTTTAAATGAAAATGGAAAAAAAAATTGAGTTTGTTTTTCTCAATTTATTTATTTATCTTATTATTATTATTATTTTTTAATTGTAATTATTTATTCATTACAGTAATTTAATTTTTATGTATTGATTTATAAATAAAGTTGGGTCAAACCAATGGTTTGTATTGTAGCACTTTTCCATCAAGCAAGTGAAAATACTGTTAAATCTATACCTATCACACTATTTAATAATTTTAATAATTATTTTCATTCAAAAACGAAAAAAAAATTTTCTAGGATTGCATATATTTAGGATGAATGATTTACGAAGTCTTTGAAATAAAGCAAAATTCATATAGAGGGGTTAACATAATGCTCGATTTTAAGGATTAATTGCGTGAGTTAAGAAAAATAATTATATTTTTTAATGTCATGGAATTTACCGTTAGCTTTTTGCGTTTATAGAAATTTGAAAAAACTTGCGTTTTCGGAAATATAAGGCGTCAAAAATTCAAATTTTCCAAATTTCAAGGGGCGTTAACTTGAGATGGGGTGGAAATGAAAAAAAATTGTTCTTCTAACGAAATAAAGTATTTATTGGTGTCTAAAAGCTGCTTATTTCAGGCTCCTAAAACCTGGGGTCTAAAAGAAAAACGACATCAAAAATTTGGAAAAAATGGATTTTAGATAAAGGTAAATTTTAACGGCCATTTTGTTTTTTTAAAGTTTGACTATAGTATGCCGCGATAGGAGAGGCAAGCCACTGCCTTTTTGCGTTTGTAAAATTTGAAAAATGCTTACGGTTTCACTGCAATAAATAGTTAAACAATGGCATTTTTAGACATATAAAATTTTAGCTTTCTATCTAAAACGGACAGACGGACAGAGTGAAACTAATAAGCACATTTTTTCAAAAAATTTTTGGAAAAGTGCTAAAAAATAAAAATATAATTTCATCATACAAAAAAAATATTTTTTTTTATACAAATCTTATGCATTTTCAATTAAATTAATTCATTTACAAGTGCATTCTATATATAGTTGTTATACATATATACGTAGAGTACATATAACCACATATTTATATTTGTTTAATGTTATTTAATTTAATAATTAAAAGCAAAATTTAATAATATCAATTAAAGTCATCATTTCGGACATAATTATTTCTATAATTTTTCAAAATGGGTTTGGAAATTTTAATTCACAAATATTCTTTTAAATAATTTTTTTTTCAAAGTCTATTTTAACAAAATTTACTTGTAAAACAAACTGGTCAAGAAATTACGAGTATTATTAATTTTTTTTTAATTTAACAATAATTGTGAAATTTTCTTTGAACAGAAACTCAATACCAGTAACAAAACCATATTTTAAAATATTTACATTGAAAACCCGTTTTCGAAATAACCATTAACCATTATTATAGTAAACAAAAGAATTTAAAATATATTGCATACTTTAAGGCTAAAACAATTATTTTTTACTCACAAAGCGTTAGATTCACAATTTAAATATGACGAATATTTAAACCGAAGTAATTACTTTTACAAAAGTTGACATCCCCGGCAATAATCTTAACTTTTTAAGGATTTTTTGGTAAAAAATAAAATTAAAAAATTTCTGATACGAATTTATATAGTGAATTCGACTTATAAGTACGCCGAATCAGTATATGAAATTAACCTTAAAATTTTCAAATATTCATAATAAGATGCAAAATAATAGTTGCAAAGAAATGTTAAGCAATAACAAATTTTTCTATGCCAACTCAAAAATTAATCAAAATGTGATTATGTTATTGTAGTTTATTACCCATGTGGCACAATATGGATTGAACTTACAATATTGTCATTCAGCATATTGAGCATATTGTTAGAATGGAACAAAAACATTTTAAAAGTTATGGCATACTTTAAGGGTTTATAAAAATTGATTTTATATCAACCTAAATTCAGTACCCAACCTTTAAATTGAGCTGATTTCAGTCACACAGATGTTATTACAATTATATTGCGAATACTGCAGTTACATTATAATATTTTATGATATTACGCATCCTTTCTGCATTGTGATCCTACAGACTAGTATGCCAACATTTGAAATTTCAAATTTCAAATAAAAATTCAAAATATTCAATTATTTATCAATAAGCCTGCATATAAATGTCACTTATTATTTGATTTTAATACCCTGTTTTACTTCTCTTCCTATTTTACTACGACTTCCTATTTGATGGTATTTAATTTTAGTTTGAGGAAGAAATTCACTATTGTCATCAATTGTCAATTCATGCTACGTATCAATAATAATATGATTAACAGGAAATCAAACATGTTTAAGATCAATTTTGCCTTATAATTAAATTATTTTGTAAAATAATAGCTTAACATTATATATAAACACTTCATTACCAATTAAATTATTGAAAAATTAAAAATTAAAAAATCATTAAAACAAAAATTATTTTCTATTATTACAGGAATTGAAGACCAAGGAAACACCCTAAAATTTTCACAAAACATGTAAACATTAAAAGGCGATCTCACAAAAAAAAAAATCAACCATTCTTTAATATTTTTGTTACAATTACTGTTACTAATAATAACAACTTGCATAAAACACAATTGACTTTAAGAATAACAATTGAAAAGAAAAATAAAACCAGCAATAAAATCACAAATAACAATAGCAAAAATGTTAAGTTCATTGCAAATTTTAAATCATGTATCACCATTAGATTTAATGGCGGCAGCTGCTGCTGGACATTATTCACATTTAGCAACTGGTTTACCAACTGGTGGACGAAATAATTATCCAAATTCATTAACATCACCATCAGCAGCAGCAGCAGCGGCAGCAGCAGCAGCAGCAGCTGCCGCAGCTGCAGCAGCATCAAATGGTACAGTTAATCATTCACATTTACATTCACATCATACAGCATCACAACATAATAATTTAACACATCAAATGCATCATCAGCCAACAGTATCAACATCAGATCCATTGGCAAATGAATGTAAACTTATTGATTATCGTGGTCAAAAGGTTGCTGCATTTACAATATCCGGTGAAACAATGTTATGTCTTCCACAAGCTGTTGAATTATTTTTAAAGCATGCTGTTGGTGGGCCACATACCGTTTATTGTAAATTAAAAAGATTGGATATTGAACCGCTTGTATGTAATGTTGAACAAGTTAGAGTATTAAGAGCTTTAGGGGCAATTCAACCATTTGTTAATCGTTGTAAATTATTATCAGTTAAAGATTTTGATACTTTATTTGATGATTGTACAACAAAAACAATGTAAGTATATATTATTTGATGTTTTATAATTTCTCTATATAGTTTAAAAGTATAGGATCAAATTTATTGTAGTTGGATTTTGTGTTTCCTTAAAACAAACAAATTGAATTTTGTTTTTTTCTGTTCAACTCAATAATAATTTAATTTTAGATTTCCTTTTTTGAATTTCTATTGTATGAATAGATATTTATGTATATTTTTGTATAATACGAAGTTTATAATGCTATAAGAGGATTGTTCACGAATTGTTTATTGTTGTTGGCGTCGTTTTCTAATTTAAAACAATAGAAATTGTGATCTATAAAAAGAGGAGTACAATAAAATGAACAATTAAGAAACAATGAATTAAAGATTATTTTCGAATCTGTTAAATTCAATGTCTATCGATAATTGAGTTTTACAGTTCTATTCTTTTACAAATAAATTAGTAAATAATCAAGAAGTTTTTACAATAAGGCAGTTGTAGGCTGAATGAAATAAGAGTACATGAAATAACATCCAGAAATATGCCTTAATGATTAGAAATTTGCATTAGTTTTAATTAATAATTGCAGGAAGTCCCTATAATTGGAATCACCTTTAATGTTCACAAATCTGATGAATGAATCCTGTCCAAGTAGAGCGAAAACAAAAATTTTTCAGTTACTGGTGAGGAGAAATCGAATCAAATTTGAAACTAAATTTTCGGCTCCTTCAAGTGTCCGTGAAGATGTGATGTATTTTCTTATATAGAAAAAGTTTATCGAAACTTTTACGCTTTAAACTTAAAAAAATATACATCAATTTGGTACAGTATTTGTAATAAATTGAAAAGAGCTTTCATTATTTTAAAGAGCTGTAAAAGACTCAAAATGGCGCGAAGGGAATACAAAAAAATTATTTAATGTACTTTTGCCATATAACTTCATACGAGTACTAACATTTTACATACAAAATATGAAATTTTAATTTTGTCGGATGTAGAGATTTTGCTTAAGCACGTTTTTCCAAAAATTTTTTTGAAAGAAAGCAATGAAATTTTTTTGTTAATAATTTGGGCTTTATCTCTTTAGGCACCACTTCTGCTACCTACACATTACTATAACAAAAGTGACACGATTTTCATTTTTTAATCAAAATGGGATGGTCTAATGTTTTATTTGTATTTGCAAATCAACGGCAAACTTATTGATTGACTGTTTAACCTATACAATTTATTGCAAATCATTATTTTATTTAATGACTCATGTATAGTTTATTTAATCTTCTCGTTATTTTGAGCATATAAAAATGACTTCGTTTTTTTATAAACGTTCATTTCAAGTCATACAAGAATTTGCCATGCCTATGCGTCTTTCAAATAATTGCTATGTAAAACAAATCAGAATTTTTTTTAATAATATGATTTTTCTTCTTCATCTATATTTACTATTTATGAATAGCAAACCGTCTAATGAAGAGGAACGTTTTTTATGAAAGCTATTCATTATAGTTTTTAAGAAATGCACGCACATTGCATTTGTCATTCAATTAAATTCAAATTAAATAATATCATTTAATTATCGCTTAAAATTCAGTGGTCATTTGAAAAACCCATCATTCAGTTTTTAGAACAATTAGTAAGAGTATCGCTTCATGAGTGGAACTGAACAAAATTTTGCTGTCCTATGTTCAATATGAAAAATTCAATTATTGTAATTTTTCGCTAAATCAATTAGGGTATTTTCTTCTCCATGCCACCAAATTTTAAGATTCTTTGTAAAACAGACTAACACAAATTATCCGAAATAGTCTAGAAATGCTATAATATAATGTTGAGCCTTACATCTTTATAATTGACTTTAAATTATTAAACCATAAATAATGCACCCTATAATATTTTTATCATTCCTTAATTTTTGTATTTGTATAACAAATTTCACATATATATTAAATTTGCCTTTTGATTAAAATTCCATAAATTTGTAAGTAAGTTTTAAAATTTCTTTTAAAATTCATTGACTTATATCTATGTCTTATATGTATATTCTATTTTATATAGATATAATTTTATAAATAAGGGCATATCCAGTATATTCCCATGATAAATTCCCAATCTTTTTTTTTCTTTTCGATTATTTTCTTAAGAAAACAAATTAAAGTCTTTTACATGCTTTTAAGTTCAACAAGACTTAATAAATTTTTCAGCTTTAAATACTTATACTATACATTTAACATTGTATTTTTTTTTTTTTGTTCTTATACTCTTTAAATACAGTGTGCCTCTTCAGTGTATTCTAAAATGAGAACATTTGGAATTTCGAAATAACAGTTCAGTATGAGAAATCCCCACTATTTAATTCATGATTTTAGCAGCAAAATATTTGAAAAATTTTTTAAAAACCTTTAAATGTTAGATCACGAATTAAAGGAGTTTTGCCGGAAAATTATAAAGTCCTGAAGAAAACTTAAGTTCTATATAAATCACGCCTCAAGTTTAGTTTATTAATTTTCAATAAAATATTTACAGAAATTGAAGAACACGCGGTCGCTGTTTGTATATTACTTCAGGGATGGTTTCATCATATTTCAACATGAAATTTAATGTATTTTATGATTCGCTTGGGTTTTTCGCTGACATTGCTTCTGCGTTCTCAGAATATTGAGACATTTTTCTGTAACGTCCACTTTTATTTATTTACTCGTTTTCAAATATTATCCACCGGTCTCTAGAATTATTCCAACAAAGTTCTCTGTTATTTTGATTTCAAATACTTCTTAATCTTTTCCTTTCAATTATTATATATGTTGCATTTAAAACAAGCGTAAAGGTACTGTGTTTTCTAACTAATTAAAAACTGTTGTGTGTTCACTAATTAAATCAAGTTTAAATATTAAAATCACCACAAATCTCCCTAAGCTCGTTAGAATTTTCGCATTCAATGTGAGTTCTAAATAAATAAATCATGCAAAATATTCCTGGCATTTTATACCTGGAACACATTGTACTATACATAAAATAAACAAATGTGTATGTTTATATCAAAGTGAAAAATAAATCTGATCCTTTTTTTTTTATTTTCTTGATTGGTCTTTTAAAACATACTACATTATACGTATAAAGGTATGAAGAGTAAAAAAAAAAAACTTAATGCTCATCTAATTTATCATTACTTTATAAGGACTTTATGAAGTAACCACCATAACCCTTATATTTTTCTGTTCTATGTTCTTATTCACACACAAACATACACATATCCTTTATTTACATTTTCCTATGCGTTTCTAACTTTTATTTTTTTTTTTTGTGTTTTACATTTATACGCTCTACTCTCTATCTTTTTTCTTTATCATGATTATTATCATTAAAAATGATTATTTTATTTTACACTATACAAATATTTATACACAAACATATATACACATTTATCTTCTTTATAATATTAAAAAGGTCCTTTGTTATGATAGAAATAAATTTGTTGTCCTTTCTGTTGTTAAAAACGATGATAACAATCTGAAAATGAATAAAAACAAAAAAACAGGACTAAAAAAGCATATACAAACAAAAACATTTATAAAGATGATGAAAAACAAAAAAAAAAACAGTTTCAAATTAAGTGAAGGTGTTAAAGCCAATAATTCTTCTTTTGACTAATCAACTGGGTGTGAAATTCTTTATACACTCAGGTGAACGCAAAAAAAAAAAATTAAATAATTTGTAAATACAAATAAATTATTTTTTGTTTCTTGTTTTCTCCCTTTCATTCCTTTGATATTATATAATTATATTTTTATTTCGAAATTAATCAAGTTTCCATTTTCCACATGTATGCGGTTTAGCTTGGTAACTTTATGAATTTTTATTTATGAAAATATTTTTTTAATATCATTAATAATATTTTCGCACTTTAAAGAAATTTTATTTCATAAATTTTCTAATAGTTCTTATACATGGACTTAGACGTATTGATAACGCGTTTAAGAGCTTTAAGTTTATCTCTTTTATGATTTAATTATATCAATGGTGCAAGTGAAGAACATATTATTTGTATATATGTATAGCATAAAAATTGTATCACATATATAGATTCACAAAATTACACAAAATTTATAATTCAAAATCACGTTCATTCAAGGTTGTGTTAATCACATGAGGAGTTCAAAGTGTCGATTTTATAATTAGGATACTTCAATTTCCTAATACAATATATAAAAATTCAAGTAACACTTGATTTAAATTATTTGACTGTCTAATTTAAATTATTAAGTTAAATCTAGAAAATCATAAATGTCCCTGTTTCTCAAATTTCTTTTAAGAATGCCACGTTTTTCTATTTAAATGAATGGCTATTTGATACAGTATCCGTTTGATACAGTTCAGTGCTATCGAATATATAGCTATATTGAATAAAATGGCATTAAAACAGAATTTTCGTAATTTTAAATGTAATTAAAACACCCAACAACAATCACTGATTTATTTCGGCCCTTAACAACCATATTCCATCTAGAACAAAAATTTTCTGCCTTCGTTATGAAAGTTCAATAAATTGATCAATAAATTGAATAGAAGCGGCCCATTCACACTTTGCTGGGTGACTGGACATGTGAGCGTGGAAAGAAACTAAGCGGACGTTGTGTTGGCGAGGAAGGGAGCCGATGTGTTTTTGAGTAAGGGAAAAATGACGATACTTCTTCTAGGCCCGGAGCCATTCTGCGTAATCGGATTACATACTGTTCGTTTGGAACTAAGGGAGGAATCAGAAGAGAGGCGGTCGGAGTTCTGGAAAATTCATCCGGTATTGCAGAAAGCCATGGAGTTTCTGGAAGATTATTACGAGAAGTGATTTGGGAAAATTATAGGGTTGGCCAAGAATCACCTGAGAATTCTTAACGCTATTTTGACAGGACAAGTACTAGAGAACTACGAACCGCAGCTCCGCCGAACCTTTCACAACACTCGAGCTCATTAGGATGATTGCTCTCAAGGGAGTACTCTAGAGACGTATAACTCAACCTGCACAGTCTACAATCTACAACATCAATCCGTTCTGATCCAATCCGCATTAGAGGGAGTCTGGTGACACCAAACAGAGTTTGAGAAACTCCCTAGCGGAACTTACATCATGTTGAAACTAGGCCAAAACTCTTCAAGCTGTCTCTCAACTTGTCAATTTGTCAATTTTCTTCTAGTTTTTGAGAGTAGTCTTAAATGTCTTTCAATTAAAATAATTTCGCTGTAGTGTTTTTTCAGTTACTATAAAATTTTTCATATACAAATTACAAAAATAGTTGTAGGACCACAGAATTTTTTACTGTAAATTAATATATTGGTACTTAATTGCTGATATTTATATTGATAACATTGGAAGAAAGCATTTCAATAGTTTTAGTAAATGGAAAGCTGTAGAAGTTTTGCTCAGGTTCATTGATATTGTAATAAGTTCTATAATTTATATGTCTACTTCAATATAATTTTAAATATATGTATATATAGTTATAATCATATTTTTATGATTTTTTCAAATTAAATCTATAAATGTCCTTTTTTCTTACACAAGTTTTTGTTTTCATTCTTCTTTCATTTCTGTTTTAATTATTCGTTTTAAAACGCGTTCAATTAACACCAAATAAAGTTGATTATAGAAATTCATTGAATTGAAAATTGCACACCAAACAATTATAATTTTTTTTTTTTTTATTTTTAGATCAAAACTTTTGTCCGAATGTTAAATGATTTCTTTTTTTTTTCCTTTTTTCATTTAATCACCTGAATATGGCCGGATTTAATTAAAATATTATATAAAAATAAATTTGAAAAAAAAAACAAACAAATTTAATTTATTTACTTTGATAGGAAATTTCTAAAAGTTGTTTATGACCGCAACAATATTTTTGAAAAAAAAAGGCGAGAAAACTTTTCATGAGGAAATTAAAAAATTTTATGAAAATAAGTTTCTGAATGAATTAATTTTAAGGATAAAATAAAATCTCGGTTGATTAGATTTAAAATTATTTTTGTTTTTCTACTTTTTACTTCACGAAAAACGCGTTATTCTAAAAAATTTTTAAGAAAATTTTTATCAAATGGGACAAACGTACGCGTAAAACTATTTATAACATTTTTAATCAAATTACAATTAAAAAGAAAATTCCAAACGAAATATTTTGGTTTGGAATATGGATATGGGACTGTGCATATTTAGTAGGGGATTGATAACTTTAAGAACCAATGATTCCAATTCGGAACTGCATATTTCTAATTCTACTATGAAAATTACAAAGTTGTAGAGTTTTGTTTTCTGTTATTTTCATTCAATCTTTATTTGGTAACATTCAAAGAATATCAGTTGACTGCAAAATAATAGCATTAATTATTCTCTTGGTCATTCCTACAAATTCAAATAATTTTATTTTTATAATTTGACAAAAAAGTTATACAAAATCATTAAAAAAAATTTTTGGATACCTATTTTAAAATTTAAGAAATTTAACTACCTTTTTTAGCACTTTTCCAAAAATTTTTTTAAAAAAAAGTGTTTATTAGTTTCGCTCTATACGTCGGTCCGTCTGTCTGTGTGTCTATTTACAAAACTGATATACCCTTGAAGATAAAAAGATGAAATTTTATGGGTACATAGATCTTTAATAGAAACTTATTTCCGTAGAAGAAAATTTTTACTTATCACCCCTTCTTTTAAGGGTAATAGCCTCCAAAAACTTAAAAACTGTCATTTTTTGACTATTTATTGTAGGTAAAAAACAAATATTTTTTAAAATCTGTAAACGCAGACGCAGAAAAGTAGTATTAAGCTTTTACTACCAAGGCATAGTTTTGTTCACCTTTAAAAAAACAAAATGGGCGTTAAAATTTACCGTTATCTAAAAACAATTTTTTTTCATATTTTTTATAGACCTCAGGTTGTAGGAGTCTGAAATTTCTCAGTTTTCAACTTCATATGTTATTTTTTCGAAAAATTGGTCACTTGTATCTTAAAAATTTAAGCTCAGACAATCGGTTCAGACAAAAACTGTTATACGAGATTAAACAAACCATCAGACCGACGAAAAGCTGGTTTAAAGTAATTGCTTCAAATTTCTCTAATACTTGAAAATCCCGTGAAGAATTCGGAAAAATCAAAATATTCCTCCCTATATGACCGAAAATAGGATCTAAAACTTCTTTTTATTTTATGTAACACAAAATTATTCTCCAAAAAATTTATTACAATTTAAATTTCATTTCAAATTGAAAACCAAATAATTATTCACAATAATGTTTATTTTCTTTTAAATTAACAGTCACATATTTTTCTGCAAGTGAAAATTTTAATAGTTTCTCTACGTAATGTTTATTAAAAAATTCTTGTTTGCAAAATTCTTCAAAATTTTTTATGTACTTCAATTTATAATCAAACGATTCTAGCTACTAAAATCATAAGTCGGCGACAACAAAGTCAATTCATTATTTTTATTACAACAAATTGTTCAATCATTCATTTAAATGGTCTTTAAAAGATTGTTAATAATAATTGCAAAAACAACAAAAAAAAAATAACAAAAAGGAAAGGGTTTTATCCTCCTTTTCTCGTACATTATATTCTTTTTTTTTTATCTTGGTGATACAAAAGTCATCGGTTAAAATGTTAACTCTTTACACCTAGGTATTCGATGAGCAGCAACCTAAAAGTAATGACCATAAAAAACAAAAATGAATAAATAAAAATTTATTTCTGAAAAGTGATATTCAATTTTGTGGCCAACCAATCAATCATTTCAAGTGTTTTATTGCATATTTTGTTTTTATTTTTTTTTTTTTCTTTACAAATTCCAATTTAACATTTAATATAACCAAGTTTACCAAGAAAATAACAAAATTGTAAAGACATGCAATTTTCTAAAGAACAAAACTGAAATGAATATAAAAAATTAAAGTGAAAAAAAGGTTAAAAGTGTGCGGATCTCTTTTATAATTTACAAAACAGAAGTTAACAATTTTGTGGTTTTAATTTTTAAACAATTGGAAAATTGAGTTGCAATTTAATTAACATGCATAAAATACAAAATTTTTTTTTCATTTCAACTTCTACTTTATGAAGCCAAACAGATTATTGTTGCTTTCAATTGAAAATAAATTAACTTGTCTTATAGTTAAAAATTAAAAAGAGGAGGAAAACGTTTAAGAAGTTTTAAGAATCACAATACAATTTTTGTTTAAAATTCTGGCTTCGTACTTAGACTTTCACTCTCTCTAAAATTTCAGCCTATCGCAATGAATTTCAATAAATAGTCAATTGTTGGGGAGAGATTCTAATTGAACGTAGCCACCGAAAATAAATTACTGCCTTAAATAAATATAGTAAATTAAAAAGGACAAAAGCTTGACTGAAGCATTTAATCAAAATACAAAGTTTGAAACCAATCTGTTAAATATAAAGCTCATCGACCAGTCCTATAGTAAATAATTACTAAAAATAACATTTTCTATTCTGCAGTTCACTGACAATATTAACATTTTAATTCTTTCTAATAAATCTTTTGAATAAGTCCTAACATACCAATAGAATAACATAATATAAATTTTTTTCAGCTCAAAAGCGGGTAGACCAGCAAAAAAAATATTTTCACCGGGAGAATTTGGTGATTATTCAGATCTTCAGAAATACAAAACTGATTCCCCTGATAACTTCTTTAATAATGGTAAGTTTAAAAAAATATCATTAATTTAAACTAATTAAAATGAAAGAACAAAAAAAACACAATATAACAAAAACCCCACCCTAATTCAAAAATTCCCGTATTTAATTTCAGAAAATCATTCAACACAACATTTATTATCGAAAAGCTTTAACAATGAGACAGCACAATTTCAATATAATCAACAGCAGCAGCAACAGCAACAACAACAGCAATTAAATCAATTGGCATTAATGCGTCAATTTAGTACATCTGCAGCAGCACGTCAACAAGAAGGTCAACCGTTCAATTTAAATGGTCCTTTACATCAACGTCCATTGGATAATTTGGCACGTCTCGATAGTTCAATAATGTTAAAATTAGCCATACAAACTGGTATGCCACCAGATGAACTTGAAGCTATGATACGTTCTGGTATGTGGGGACAATCATCAAATGAAGATTTGGTTAAGAATTTGGAACGGTAAGTGTTATCAATTAAAAATAAGAATAAATTCAATTTATATACAAAAAATTTTTGGCTAATTAAATTAAGAAATTTTTATTAAATTGTATACAGTTACAGATTGGGTGAACTTGTTAAATCAACAACATCAGATCATTCAGATACTCGAGATCATAATCATGAACGTGATAATCCGGCATTAAATTTATCATCAAAAACAACATCCGATAATCATATTAAAGATAATGTTAATGATGGTGAAAGTGTTTATAATGTGAGTAATAGAAGTGATTCACCAACACCACAACGCCATTCAAGCTCAAATGATATGAGAAATGAATCAACCGATGATTTATCTTTAATATCTGATGAAGAAAAATCTGATAATAATCCAGAATATAATAAGGAATTGAAAAGAAGAGCTAATGAAATTGTTAATAAAACTTTACCATATGAAAGAGATGATTTGCCACCACCAAATGAATTTGAATCTGAAGGAAATATTTCGATTGGTGCATTACTTTGGAATATTCAAAGTTTATTAAAAATGGCCACTGATAATGCAAGACAACATGAAAAACAAATGCTCTATGAAAAAGCTGAATTAAGAATGGATATTGTTAAAGAGAAAGAAGTTAAAGATTCTTTAGAGAAACAATTGGAAGATGAACGTAAACTTAGAATTTTATATCAGAAACGATACAGTCGAGAACGAAAATTGGGTATTAAATTGAGACGAAGACTTGAAATGAAATTACGTTCAAAAAAAGGAATTGATCGTAAAGAGAAAAATAAAAATGAAAGAGAGGAAGAAGAACAACCCGAGAAAAAAAATCAAGAACAAGAAAAAACTCAAACTGATGATGAATTAGATAAAGAGAAAACTTAAGTTGCAAATTCCAAAACCTTAATGGCTTTGCTAACACACTTTTTAAAGGAAAGTTAAGGAATTAATGTATAAATGAATACATTTATATTTTTTTTTTTTTTTAGATTTAATGAGTAAATAAAATTGAAAATTAAATAAAATTAAAATTATAATCGCATGTACCCTTTAAGCATAATGTTAAAATTAATTTTGTAAATAAAAAGTAAAATTTCGATAAAGTAATAAGAATAATAAAAATCGTTTCAAAACGAATTAAAGGTAGAGTTGAACGTTTTTTTTTTATAATAAACACTTATAATAAAATATTAATAGATCAAACAGATTTTTCGAAAGCTCATTGCAAATGCAGAATTGCATTTCAATTCTATACGCTGAATAATCTACAATACCATAGCAAATTTGAAAATTTTATGGGACACAGATGAAATCTAGAAAATATATTAAATCTTCAATGTAAAATCTAAAGAATCTCGACTTTAGAATGCAGACTGCATTCTAGAAAATATCTTTGTTTATATCTCACTCTTAAATTCTTCTCTAACATAGTCATTATTCAAAGTCTATTGATTCCTTATATGTTATTGAGGTTCGCTATAATTCGCTACAAAATAAGCGCAAATTTGAAGCAAAATTGATCTCATGATATTACAACTCTATTTGACCATTTCTTTCATTTATTAAAGAATTCCAAATAGATACTATAAAAACTAACTGTCTTCGATTAGATCTCGATCTTCTTCCAATATTGTAGCCCATCAAATATAGTGAATAAATTAGTAAACAAATCTTTTCAATTTGATTACACATACCCTAAAAATTGGAATTTGGATCAAAAATAATCAAATTTCAAAGCTAGACAAATGATAAAATTCAATTAAATACTTATGAAAATTTACATTTCATCAATTAAGTGATAATTAAATCAAAGCATACAAACATTTTCTTAAAAATTATTTAAAATTACAAAAACATTCTACGCATAAAATAACCACAACCATTTACTCGTCTTTAACTTTCACTACTGCATAACAAAAACAACATAAAAATTTCCTTTTTCGTATTTTATACGAAATTTTTTGTTTTTCTTGTTTTTTTTTCTTGAATCCTTAAAATCGAAAATTGATTTTTAAATAAGAAATAAAAACATTCCAGTTTTTTCCTTTTTCTATTCTTTTTCTAGTTTTGTTTTTTCCATTTAACTGTAAAACTTTACAGCCTTAAGGATTCAAAATTATATTCCCCACTTTATCAATTAAATTCTAAAAAATATTTAATTCCCTTCCTTAAAACTTCCGTACATTTATTCCCAAGACTTTATCATCAACCTTCTACCACCTTCAAGCAATAAACTCATTCCTCATAAACAGGAAAAAAAAAATTCACTGAAAATGTTTATAGAAAAATCGAAAAAAGGGTTAACAATAAGATGAGTCAGAAAAAGAAAAAATTAAAAATAAGAAAAAAAAATTATTACTTTGTTGTCTTTTAAGAAGGCTGGCTGGCAAAAGGATTTTTTAAGTTTTTCTCTTTTGTTATTGTTTTTTTTTTTCAAATGAACCTAGAAAAACCCATGCATATTGGTAAGAAAAACATTTTTGTTTACAAGACAAAAGTTATGTACGTATTAAAATACACGTTTAGTTATAAAGAAAAAGAAAAGTAAAAACAGTAGCTCTCCCAAAAGAAAACATTTAGATCCTTAAATAATATCCTTAAATTATTTTGAAAAACCAATAAAAGAAAAGCAGAAAAATAAAACAGAAAAAGAAGACTTTTTAAGGATTTTAAAATTTTAAAAGCATTTTTGTCCTATTTCTTCATTTAACTGAAATTTCGTATGTTTCTGTAAATATTGAGCAGCTGAACAGAAATTAGAATGAAAAATTATTGCCGTATTGTTCGTCTGTCTCGCCCATGTAATTAAAATATTAAGAGATTTTGTAATTTTGTGATTTTAAAAGAATTTTTTTTTTCTGCTAGCACACAAGTGCATAGACACCGATGACATCATTGACTTCGCCCAGAAAATATAAATTAAAATGTGCGACTTTAATTACAATTTAAAAAATTCTAACGAAAACGATGACTAAGTCGATAAAGCTAGGAATAAATTGGTGAGTCAGTACTCGACAATCTTGAGTTTAATTGTTGGGATAGTTACTGAACAGTTTTTCTCCATAGTCCACCTGAAAAGGATGTGCAATGTCAAATGTGTCGTTTTTATGTAGAGGAGAATGAAACTGTAAAATATGTACTGAATATGAAACTGTTACCCATTATCTTAAATCAAGTACCCATTTTAAGATTAACGATGTTGCCATCATCACTGCCGTTGCCGATATAACACTTAAAATCAGGATTTTGATGATAATTTACAATTTCAACCAGCATTATTTGGTAACTCTGACAAAAAAAATATTTTAATTTTCAATATTCCCAAATAATTTTAAAAACTTAAAAACAAGAAAAAAATTGAATGGATTAAAGATTCAATTCCTGTTATATTAATTTTATTCCTATATAATATACAAAATATAACAATATATTTACACATACTATAATACGAGTACACAAACATATACATATATATAAATATATTTTAAATAAAAGGATGTAATATAAGCGCGTTGATGGATTCTTAATTGGAAATGTAAATGAAATCAAATGAAGATATTAAACACAATTGAATTAATTCTTAAAGGAAAAATATTAAGCCACACAGTTAGGAAAATATTAAAAAGAATAAGAAAAAGGAGAAGAAGGAAAAGAGCAACAGACAAAAAAATAATAAGGAAAAGTTACAAAAGTACAAGAAAAACAAAAACTTTTTTTGTAAATTATTAAGAAACATTAGCGGTAAATAATTCAGAAAAGATGAAAAATAAAGGGGGCAGCAAGAGTATAGCATTAAGATTTCAATAATGAATATGATTTTCTTAAAGAAAAGACTATAGCTTTTAAATATAAATACGCAACATTTACAAATTGTATATGATGTGTGTGATTATTCTTAAAGGAGCATTTTACAAAAAAATTATCAATATTTGAAGGTTGATTTCTACGTATCCTTTGAATTTATTTTAACAAAATAAAATTAAATTCGAATAATAATGATTTTCCTTTAATGGAGCTAAAAGTAAATAAAAGAAAACTTTTTTATGTTTTCATTTATAATAGAAAAAACATTATAGATGGGCGATGTAGAGCATAAGAAGTTCAAATTACAAAAATATTTACGAGTAGTTAAAGGATTTCGTTTATTCTCTTTCCATCTTACAATCTTAAACACATACACAAAAATGTTTATATAATTTTTAAGTAAAAAGTTTTTTTTTTTCTATTCTTTAACCATGTATTTTAATAAAATTATACACATTCAGACATACATACACATTTTAATGGGAAATAAAAGGATTTAAAGGACTTAAAAAATAAAATTCTCTTGTACATAAATAAACGGAAATAGATTTTAAGAAAATATTAATAAATATATTGTGAATATTAGGTCTAAATGAAAAAAAAAAAACAAAAACTTTTTTTATATTATGACCCATTTGTATGTACTAATGATAATAGAGAACTTATAGGCAGACTTTTGATCATTAATAATAAATTAAAATTCTTATAATAAATTTTAAAGGATAACTGAAATTTTATTTGTATGTATACATGTTATATGTATATAGTAATATGTATACAAAAGATTTCAAATAATTTTATTATAATTTTATATTGCTGATTTCGACAATATGAAATTTTTAAATTCAAAATTTATCCTTCGCATGTACTTAAAAATGTACTGAAATGAAGCAATAAAATTTCATAAATTTGAATTATAAATTTTAGTTATCTATTTGTATGGTAAGAAAGGCAAAAAATACTTATTAGAATTAAACTACTTATCTAAATTTTTAGAATCTATAATAATTGAGGGCGGTTTTATTAGAAATATTTCGAAAAACTCTTGTTAATTGTGAAAATTTAACTCAATATCCAATAAATATAGCAATAATTATTTTTTAATTAAAATTATGATACTGAGAATATTAATAAATGCAAAAACATTTACCCACATTTACCCACATTTTTAATTTGCAAATTATTTAAATTTAAATTTAAAATTTTTAAGAATAATTTCGTGTTAAAAATTTTTAACTTAACCATTGTTACTCCAGTAAAGCTTAGCCTCTAATTCTTTTTTATTTTTTGAAACAATTTTTTGGGGGTTTAAACTGAAAATCTTATTATTTCACTCACAAAGATTTTCCCGAATTGCCCAAACTAATTCGGGCATACTCTTAAATATTTTTGTGAATTTCTATAAATTGGGTATGAAAACCAATCAATATGACTATGCGTGATAAGGAATTCGAACCAAATTTTTTTTTCAATCTGAGTAATATTTCAAAATATACGTACTTTCTTGAACGTCTCAGTCAATAATACGTAATTGATTATAAACTATATTGAGCAAAAATAATTTATAATTGAGACCACTTATATAATATAAGAATGTAAGTATTATAAATACATAAATGAATTTCCGGTCCCCTAAAATTCGATTTTCGTTAACAATATACTGATATTAAACTTGAATATTAAGTGTGTTATTAACCCTGATAAAAATAATTTTATAAAAATATTAAATTATAAAATTGTATTTGAATTTCCTCTTCTTATATTTTTGGCTTAATCTTAAAATATTGAATGATTTTTTAAACAGAAATTCTAAAGTATCGGCACTTAATGAATAAAGAAACATTTTTAATCTCAGACATTTTAAAAAGTTTAATTCAATTGATTTGCAATTACATACTGGGAAACAATTAATATTTTATGTTTTTTTTTTACCCTCAGCAAAATATTCTTAAATTTTATTTTGTTGTTGTTGTAACACTTAAAATCGATATCCTTTAAATAAAGGATTTGCTTTCAATATGGTTTTTGTTTTTTATAATAAGAAAACATTATTTTTTCTTCTCTTTCCCTTTAAAATTTTTTACTTTGAAACCTATAATTACATTTCAGAAATTTCTTTTGTTTTTCTGTCTTTTAAACAGTGGAGCGTTTTATTTATTGTCAAAAGAATTGTCAATTGTTTCATCTTTCATAAGTGTTTTTTTTTTTTGTTGTTTATTTTTAAAATAATAATTTTTTGTTTGTAGTGTGTAATTCCTTTTACATTTCGCGGAATTTTTCTATACATTTTCTTCTATTTTTCTTTTGTTTTTAAAACAAACAATATTGCAACAAAAAAAAAACA